CAGTGAAATCACTGGAAGTTGTATTTTTCCATCACACTACAGTTCAAAGTATCAGGTTTCCAATAACAGAGGTCGTCAAGGGTACAAGCCAAATTGAAAAACTATTGAATGTGAGGTTAGTTAACCTTTAAACAGGAAACACATTGCACAAACCATTTCTAACAAACAAGTGTGAAACTAAAAATAAGTATGGTAGTGGTTTGCGACTTTTTTTTTTTTTTGTCAGAATTTCATATTGATCCACAGACCTGTCAGATGATCTCCTTCATCAGCACTATTTTTTTATTTTTCTATTATCTATTACCTTCAGCTGTTTATTGCGATCATTAAGCTCAGCCATTTCAACTATTTATCCATTACTTTTTGTTAACTGTTTCAACTGTTTATCTGTAACTTTTAGCTAATTACTTCAACAGTTTATTATCTGTTAGCTAATAATTATGAAAGAATCTGTAATCAGTTTCAGATAGATGGATCTATATCTATATCTATTTTTAGCCAACAACTTTTATCCATAACTATTAGCTGGCTATTTAAAGTGTTTATTCGTTACTTTTTGCTAACTATTTAAACCGTTTATCCATTAGCTAAAATGTTTATGTTAGCTTCTTTTGGCTAACTATTTCGACTGTTTACCCATCACTCATCAAACTATTTCATGTTTCTTTTAACTAACTATAGATGTATGTTCCCAATTTATCTTATTGTTTATTCAGGACTTTTAGTCATTTCACCAATTTATTCATTGTTTTTATTTATTTTTGAATTTATTATTGTTCATTGTTTCAATTGTTTATCTATTCCAACCATTTACACATCACTTTCTGTTTTTTCAACTATTCTGCTCACTTGCTACATACACTCTTAACTTGTGGTACAGACTGACTAAAAAAAGTGGACTGTTTTTTTTTTTTAAATTCAAATCTTAATTTCTATTTTTAATCTCTATTCTTTTCAAAGTGCTACTTCACAATATTTCCATGTAGCCCCAAGAAACTGCAGAGGTAGCCCCTCGGGTACAAGTATCCCCAGGTGGGAAACACAGAAGGATGGATCCAGACGAATGAAAAAGGATGGAGCTTGGATCTGTATTGTACAGTAGATTGGAAGTGTATTTTGTGACTGATCTTGTTATTGGTTCATCTATGACTGGACATACACCACAAAAAAACTTTAAGATATGCAGACACCCTGATTTACGATGCAGTCGAATGATGAATCTTGCTATATCCCAGCAGACTCCACATCACAGCAACAGTGACAAAAAGAAAGAATAGCTATGACGATTTCGCGATGGCTCATCCTTCCTACTCATCTTAAACAATGAAGGCAGGAAACAAAGGCAGTGACCAGTTAAACACTATGAGGGCGAGTGAGCTCACTGCTCTCCCTGGCTTCCTCAGTCCCAGTCAATGTTCCAGTTTATCCCAGTCACAGGACTGGGAGCAGGGGAGGGTTCCTGAGATCGAGCCCCTCCCTCAGACTCAGACAGGAAATCCCATCTGGAGACGAAGGTGTATGAGGAAAGACTGACTTGGAGGGGAGCCAGTCAGGATGCCTCTGAGTCTGGGCAAAGGCTGATTCACGGTGAAAGACGAATATCGTTTAGTGAAAGTAGTAATACCATGATGGAAATAGATACAGTTGTAGTTGAAAGTTCATACCAGTTGTAGAACAATTAGTCAATTAAAAAAGTGGAAATATAAAGAGAAATAAATGAAAGAATAAAAATTAAAAAAGTAACTTAAACAGAAAGAAGTGATGAACCCGGCTGGGACGCACTTGTTATTCAATGCTTTTAACTTCAAAAGTCACAATTGGGCATTGAGCTACAAGTGCTCTCAGGCAGGTTCATCGCTTTTTAGTGTCCCCTGTAAACACTTATTTGAAGATGTTTTCTGAATGTGTTTGTGTTTTGTCTATTTGCACGCGTTTTCTTAAGTTGCAGTGCGTTGAGCTCTCAGGTCCACCATAATCGAGAGGCATAAAAAAAAACACAAATTGACACAAATTTACAATAAATAGGCACCTCACCTCTCCTCTGAGGATGAAAATCAAAGAAGGAAAGACATTAGACTGCGAATTAAAAAAGAGCTTTAATAATTTTCTGTTTCTGACAGAAAACACGACATGATCTGTTTGAGAATAAATGTGACACACTCTTTCATCTTTGCTGTTATGAAATTCCGGGAGTCTCGTGCATATTCATGCCTCTCCAACAGGCAGATCACTTCAAAGTAAGTCTCAGATTTTACCAACCACTCCTCTTCAAATGGAGAACCACAGGTGTGCTGGTGGTATGTGGAGATTCGGGGTGGGGGTTGAGGACTGGGCTGTCATTTTATATCTTTTCTTTTTTTTTTGTACTCTGAGTGCTAAAGTGTGCGCTCATGCAGCACAAAATTCAAGAAAAGTTTCCTGCAGTCACTCATGCAGGTCTTTTTGTATTCTGATATGTTTTGGGTTTTTAGAAATCTTTACAACTCTCTAGTGAAAAAAAGTGATGGAAGAAGTATTCATATCCTTGAGTAAAAGTAACATTACCACTATGTTAATAAACTCCATTATGAATACAGAAGTGAATTAAAAATGTTAAGTAAAAGTATATAGTAGTGGTAGTATTATTAGCAAAATGTACTTGAAGTAAACTACTCACTGCAGAAAACTGGCGCCTGTGTGAGTTACTGTTGCATAGGTGGAGTTAATTTGAAGTATTTTAAATATATATATATATATATATATATATATTATTAAACATTTAATGTATAAAAGCTAAGAAAATACCCCAAAATTTGTTCAAATGTGTTTGTCTGACTAAAAGTCCCAAAACTAAACATATTCAATCTAAAATTATATAAATTCAAATAATTCAATTCAATTCAATGGTATTTGTATAGTGCCAAACAATGTGTCTTCATAAGTGATTTTCAGGATTATTTGATTATCAATGCATTATATTTTGTAAGATGAGCGTATATGTTTTACAATAAAAATCTTAATTGGTAAAGTAGGCTAACTACATCTGTCAGATAAATAACCATACGAGTGACAGGTATCTGAATTCAGTTTCCTTAAAAGAAAAAAAAAAGAAAAGTATTAAATAATTTTACATTTAACTTACAAAGGTCTTAACTGTGTCAGAAGAATAAATGAGCAGCTGGTTTGCCTCATCCCTTCAGTTTATTTTAGTTTATACTCATTTTAAATACAGCAAATACACAGTGGTGTTTCTGCATAATCTGCAGGGTTAAAGGTAAGTATATTGTTCCTTTTAGTGAACACATGCAAAGCTTTTAGTCATTTTGAAGCACCCTGCACTTCCACAGATAAGTGCTGCAGTGAAGCTCATGATGCGTGTGGTTAAAGCTCCCTCTGCTGGATTAAAGAAGAACAAACCAGGACAGGAGGAGGGTTCAGAGAGAAGTAAGAGGAGAGAACAGAATCACTTTGTTTTTGCCTTATAACCCACTTCACTTGTTTGTTTGTTTGTTTTTTTTTTGTCATATTCTCTGCCCTATTCAAAAATAAATAAAAGTAATATTCTGTTTTTGTTGTTGAATCTGCCTTTCACAAATTTGTCAGTATCAATATGCCAAGCATTAACTCAACACTGACTCAACATGGATTGCTTTGTTTTGTATTTTGTTATCTCACCATCCCATAGAAAGGAAATATCCTCATATAACTGTATAAAATCTGGGGAGTTGAGTTTCATTATATCTCCTCAAGTCATGTTTATTTTGTTGTTAAGTAGTACATCTAATCTCCTTGGTTTGCTCCCACATGTTATATATTTAACAAACTAACCCTTTTTTCCCCCATTAGTTCCTCTACTCTCTGCCCTTTATAGTCTGTTGTCTTCCCTCCCCACAATGTGTTATTGAAATCACCACACCATATTACCTTATTTCCTTGCTCTGGCCTTTTCAATTCTTCTATTGTAAGTCTTTTACTGGGATTATGTAGATTTATAACAAGAATCTTTCTTTTGTCCAAACAAAGCTCTACACCAACTAGATCAATACTGTGATCAATAAATATTGTACCATAAGACAATTCTTCTTAAATAAAATGTGCACCCCACCCCCCCCCAACCCCCATCTCTATCTTTTCTTATTGTTCTATATCCCCCAATACTGAAGTCCCAATGAGGTTTCAGCCATGTCTCTTGGATACAAATAACATCTGATTTCTCATTTAACAGCTGTATATATGCCTTGAATTCTTGACCATTTGCAATAAGGCTTCTAGCGTCCCATTGCAGAATGAAGAAAACCATTATACTCATCAGTGCACTGTGATAAGCCGTCATTTAAAAGTTAACATGTCATGTAACATTCTCATTCTTCATCAAATCTTTCACACCCAAAAACTCACCTGCTGCATCCACTATAGTTTTCAGCCTTGACTTCTTGTCTGTTGCAAAGTAACTTTTACAATCTTGTCATTAAATGCCACAAAGTTGAACTTATCCACCATAAATGTATCACCTTTTACTGCACACTTATGTGAACACGTTATAGTGTTACAGTGTGATGCCGCTGTGGATGCACGCAGAAAAACAGCACTGACAGGTGTGTGCATGTCATATGACATGAATACGTGTCATATGACAAGACATACTGTTGAGTGGTTAGTCGTTTTTCTAACTTTGGCAGCACGGGGGGGCGGGTTCAAACAAATCCGGAACAAGGTGATGTAAATTGTTGCTGACTTTACCAACGTGCAACATGTAATGTTCAATACACTGGAAATCATGGTCATCCATAATGGTAAACATGCTGTTACCAGTGTAGGGAAAAGGCAGGGACAGCGGTGATAAACAAAACATGCACTCATATTGTGATTTGACAAAAATATTATCTGGTCTTAACAATAAAAGCTTTATTATATCAACCACCGACCGCAATAGAGGCACGACGGAGAAGGTTTTACTTTGAAAGCGAGTACCGGAAGTTTGAGTTTGTATGAAAGTGAACTTGACGCGTGTTCATGCGGGAGCAGGTCAGCTGTTTGGTTAGTTTACTGCCTCCAGTCAACCCACTGTTGGAGCCTTGTTAGCCCATGGAAAAGTGGCTCCATCTAAGCTTTCCTCCAACTATCTAAAACCGAAACAGCTCATGTTAGCTTGGTTGCAAGGCTCTGCGTTTTTTTTAGCTAGCTCCTGTGGATTTGATACGGCAGACAGTTTGGAGCAACCTGCTAGCCTAGCAGCTAAGTTAGCAAGATACACTGGAAAGGAGTAAGGTAAGCAGTCTTCAATTTTGTTTTCAAGAAAGACAGCCGTGTAGCCGCCCCCAGGATAACCTAAACAGTTTCCCACGTTTATCGGCATTCATAAAATGTCAGAACAAGTCTTTATCCATATGTTAGATCTCTACCAACCTGTGCTGCCAGGTGCTTTGCTAGCAAGCAAATATCAGCTCATCGAGATCAACAGTGACTTATACACAATTTTATTCACCCGGAGAGCTTCTGTAGGCATAAGTAACTCTGTAACACTTAAACACTGTCATGAATCAAATCTCTGCCACCAGACCGTGAACTACTCGGTAGACAAATGATAAAAAAAAAAACACGTTTGCATTGAAATATGTGCAGTTTAGTGAATCGTGTTTATGCCGAATTGAAAAGTGGAGCTAAAAGTGAAAGAAAAGTCTCGAATGAAATGTTTAACTTGTGGGCCCTTGTGCCAACCTTATCATAAACATTAAATTGCAAGATATGTGATCGGAGTTCTTTAATACACGGCAGCCACTTGTTGTGTTTTTTCCATTACACTCTGAACTTTTTTTTTCTTATTCCTATTATAGACCTTGCGTAAACCTGTTTTGTCAATGCTACATTGAATATGCCAATAAAGCAAATGTAAGTTTAAAAAAAAAAAAAAAAGTCAATATAGCATGCTTCATTTACCTCGCTGTTTTTTCCCCTTCAGGTTAAGACCAGTGTCATCAAAACCATGGCAGGTGGAATTACAGAGACCGGGGAACCCTACTCCGCCTTTGTGAGTGTCATGCAGAATGCCGTGATAAATTCCTAATTTCTTTTTCATCATCTAAGGTCAGGCACAAGTTTAACCACCTTGTAACTGTAAAGGGAGAGCTCTGTAAAAATATGGGTTATTATCCAAATAAATCTTTTAGTAGCTAGGAGCTTGGAGCTACAGTGGACACATTTCTGAATCCGAATGGAGCAAATGAAAACACTGCAGCCCTTCATTGATATGAAATGAAGAAACTGTAGCGTTCTGCTCGGGTGACTTGCAGCTGCTTTAACTTTTACCTGGTGGATTGTACTGAAGTACATACCTTTCTTGAGCTGATTAAATTTACTGCTCTATATATACTTTGTAAATGTACAACAGAAAAAACTGACATTTTTATTTAGGTTATCAAATCATTAATGTCTTTGTAAAAAGAGATGGTACACATGAAAGTACTGCTAAAAATGAAGAGGAAACTAATTTACTTGCACATCCTCTTTTTTTTATTTTTAACACACCAGGCCTCTTTATGGTCTGGACTCTGTTTTGACAGCTAACTTAACTCCCTGACTTTGCTTACATCGACATGTCCTTTCCACGCACACATTAAGTCCTGCTGGTCAGATGTTTTTTTTCCAGGAAGCTGAAGCTAAAGCTTTGAATCTTTAAAACGCTCTGCTACCTGATAGGAGTAAGTGCTGGCTTGTAATCCCAGCTGTCTTCCTTGACAATGGTTGACTTTATCAAACAGGGTTCTGAGGAACACCCGATACTGTATTGCTTGAGATTTTGGACTTAATAAAAAAACAACAGTAAATAAGTCATTAATATTAGATGAAATTTCATTGATCCCCATAGAGAAATTTCAGTAATTGCAGCAGCAAAACTTAAGAGTTGTAGTGGGAGTAAAATGAAATCTAAGGATACACAATGCAGTAGCAAATGAAAACCTGTTAGAGTTAAATCTCAGTAGGGTCATGTTGGACTTGTACATGTCTTTACCCTCTGTCCTGCTCATTCCCTCCACAGGTGGGGCTGGTGTATATGTTCAATCTGATTGTGGGAACCGGAGCTCTGACGATGCCCAAAGCCTTTGCTACAGCCGGTTGGGTGGTCAGCTTAGCACTCATCTCATTTTTAGGATTCATGAGGTAATTCTCGTTAGACCCCAGACTCAGTTTGGTGATTACCCACTCCCCCACTTCCTTTTCATTCCTGACACCTGTCCTTCTGCATGCAACAACAGAAACAACGTAGACATGGAGTTGAAGGCTGAAGGCTTTTTTTTTTTTTTACCAACATCTGAATTATTTTGTAGTTTATATTTAGAGTCAGTATTAAAACAACACAGCATCTGTTTGAATATGATGTTTATTCCCTGCTAAGGTAAGCATGATTATTCACAAGACTTTTAATGGCAAAGTTTTCAGCTCAATCATGTTTGATTCCTTGTGAAAAGCTGTGTAGATGGGAAAGTGGATTGTTTTAAATGCATGCATGCAGCACTATTTGGTCCATATAATTATATAAATATGAGAACAGAATCAAATATCAAATATGGATCTAATAATACATTGAAGGTTGATGATATTTACTACCACTAGATGTCGCACTGGACCACCAACATCTCAGACCAAAACAAATGCTTCTTCAGTCACACCCCTACACCCTCCCTTGTTGTTCTCAGTAAGGTGTTGTTACGAAGCCCAGCGAACGCTTCCACTAAACGCACAACAAGAAGCAGAGCTGCATAAAGTTAGAGGAGAGGCTCTGACTGTTTCCTGGGTGATCTAATAAAAATATATTTATTTTTAAGGAAAGTGTAAATGAATCCACCTGCTGTTGAAAACAAAGTTTCCAACGTAATGTTGGAATGGTCAAGGCCAAAATGATGATTGAATAGTTTCATTGTAATGTATTTAACCACCAATTAAAGTCGTTAAAAGCAACTTGTTAACCTGTTGTGTCTTCTTGTCTCCCCTCCCAGCTACATGACCACCACTTTCGTGATTGAGGCGATGGCGGCGGCCAATGCTCAGCTGCGCTGGAAGAGGAGAGAGCAGGAGGAGGTAAGATAATAACCTCTGAGACGCAGCAGGGTCTTACTCTACATTTAAGTATATTTAATGGGCTGTTAGCTGGATGGATGGTTCTGTATTTGCTGTAAGGATGTGCCAGACAAACCAAATATTAAAGAAGTAAATGTTCCTCTCTGTCAGGGGGAGTTTGTCTAATAAGACATTAAGCCAAACACTATTTACACCCTGCAGGCAAAAAAGTGGAACTAATGTTGGTATAAATGCAGCGCAGGGACATTTCCAGTTCTTAGCTCTGGTTAATGTGCTTACACGTCTTGTTCTGACAGGTTGAAGCTTGTTTAGGCAGCTAATAACCGAATGAACCTCACTTCATCTTTTATGTTTCAAGGAAACATATATCCATAAAATAAACAAATAAACATAAATCCAGAGTGTTTTCAGTCAGGGAGTGTGATGCTAATTTTCTAGCTGTGTGTTTATACTGAGTGTAGACTCCAAAGCTGTGTCACTTCTTTATTGATTACAACAAACAGATGACTGACAGGAGTCATGGCTGATGTGTAAAACTGCAAGACAGATGAATATCTTTTTTCAAATTTGACACAAACATTTACTTGGGCTCAAAGATGAAATGATTACATTTTGGTGGGGAAAGGTCAAAGTTCAAGGTCATGGTGACCTTGCTGTCTTATATCAAAGGGAATATCATTACATAACAGTCACTTGGACTCAAGGATGAATTGATTAGAATTTAATGTCCAAAGGTTAAAGGTCACTGTGACCTCACAAAACATGTTTTTGGCCATAACTCACAAATTCATACACTAATTATCACACAATGGCAGATGGCATTTTATACCCAAATGGTCGAAGGTCAGTGTGACATCATAATGTTCTGTAAAAACACTTCTGGCCGTCATTCAATGCTGTAATTGATTCTGACCATATTTCCTGCATCTTGGCTGATTGGCAGAGGCATACAACCAGGAGGTGGTGATTCTAGTTGTTTTAGATGAACAGTAGCAGACACCTGAGCCTCTCTTCAACTTAGTTAATGTTGTCTTCACTATCAGTAATCTGCAGTTGCTTTAGATACTTGTAGCAGAAAACCAGACGCAATCTGAACTGACCAAACAAAGTTTTTGTTGTTTCCATGTGTTATCTCTGTCGCTGCCATAGAGCCTCAGAACACATCTCAACAAAATATATAACATAGGTCTCATTGTTTTTAGACATATTAATGTGGAAAAGTTAGAGATTATAACTTTAACCATATAAAACACTTAAAAATTTACAGTGTCCAAGTATCTCTGCAGCACCAAAGCTGAGTGACCTTTTTTTTTTTATCTTCGTTATTTGATCTGAAGCTATTCATCACATCTCTTCTTTCACATTTGAACTTCTGTTGACAGAAACAATAACTGTTGTCATTTTAATCCCAGCAGACATCACCAGACTGTAGAATATTTCATGTTAAATTCTCCTTTTAATTGGAAGGTGTATTTTTTTTTTTATTCAGAAGGATGTTGTTTTATTGTGGATCCTAGCAAGTTCCTCTTGCCACCCCTCTATAAGGAACCCAATTGAGATGAAGCTATCAGTGCAGGACTGTACTCCATTACCCGGTCTTCAATCATTTTTTTTTTTTTTTTTGACTAAGAAAAAGACTTTCTAACTGGCTCAGCCTTTGCTTTTTGTTTCTCCTGTGGTGCAGAAGTCATCTTGCTTAATGCCTGTGTGTTTCCAGTTGAGGAGTTATGAGCCTGAGGACAATAGCCTGGCTCTAACTGAGCCCCAAACTCTCGGCCTTGATTCATGGCTCCTGTACTCCCCTCAGCATTTTCCTCCCACATAATGGAAAACAAGAGAGGGAGAAAACTGGAAATGTTTACCACTGAATGCTTTTTATTTCTCTCAGCTTGAGAGAAGCCTATTAACAGAAAAATGTTTGTTTTTGTTTTTCTGTTGTAAAGTGATGTATCATTATGTGTTTTCAGAAGTTTATTAGGTTCAAACTAGAGACCATGTTTCTGAGGACGGTCCCTCTGTCGGTCAGTTCATATGGAAAACCAGGGAGACTTACAGGAAGAGATGAAGTGCAGTATTGAATTGTGGCCATGTGATGAGAGCAGAGCTCTTTACAGAAGATCCCAGCTGTGAATGGCTGTAACTGATCTAATGTATCACGTAATTGGTTGGGAATGATGCTCTGATTAGATGGTTGATGTGTAGCACTGGCTGCTGAGATCGCCCTCTGCTGGAGGTATAAGGGAAATGCGACTGGATTGTGTTACTATCTATTCTTCTTCTTCTTCTGAGAACTTCTCTCCCCAGATGTTAAAAACAAATCCAGCAAAAATGATGGAAGTTCTGTCAGCGCTTTATTATGATCTTAATAATTTCCTGTGTTGTTTGGTCCTAATTACAGGCAAACTACTGACTGCATTTTAAACAGTTGTTAGTTTAGTTCAGCAGATGCTTCCATTTAATCCCATGTAAATAGACATTATCCTCTGTATTAGGAGTGCAATGAACAATAATTTATTAATCTTCATATTTTGTTTCTCAATTTATAAAATGTCATGAAATGGTGAACAATCAAAGTTTCCCAAAGCTCAACTTTATGTCTTGAAATTCCTCGTTTTGTTGGACCAACAATCCAAAACCCTGAATATTCAACTGATAATCGCAGAAGACAGACAAAACAAACAAATATTCCCATTTTAGAATCTGTAGTCGTGTCATGTAATGTAGTTTTGCATTTTTCTTAAGTAAAAAATGACTCAGAAATAGTTTGCTGCGAAATTTTATGTTGCTGATCTAATTGATCAATCAACTAACCATTGCAGCTCTACTCTATATTCTCCTGTATCTTGAATTGTATTTTAGCCTGTAGACAAATCTCACATTTGTCTACAGTCTGTTTCCCGCCGCTTACTCGTTGTTTGTCACACATCCATTACCTCCTGTCGCTCCTCATCTTCGTTTCCCAGCCGTGTCCCAGCCAACATGTCACTTATCAATTCAGCTGATCACACTCGCAGAGTTGACCAGCGTTGACAGCTAATTGATATCAATCTGGAGAGAATTTTTGAAATGATAAAAAGCGACGTATTGGTGTGCGAGCTGTGAGCGGTCCTCCGTTCTCCAAAGTGCTCCCCAGCTGTTGCTTGTAATTTCCAGATGTTGCCTTCCCCTGTGTGATATACAAGAGCAAATAAACACTGCATTAATAGCTTGTAAACTGAAATTAGGAAAACATGCAGCCAAAACAGAGCTTTACACACTCCTGTCATCTTCCTCAGATCGACGACAGCGACTCCACGTCTGAGTATTCGGATGATGATGTCATGGGCCGAGGCCGATCGGAGCCGGAGACGAAGCCCATCTTGTCTGTTCGTGAGTATCATCAGTGCAACAAGTGTTTGTAGGAAATAAATTAGTGCAAGCGCTGACAGCAAACACAAGGTTAATCCTGCTGGTTTAGCAGCATCCTCCAAAAGTGATTCATGTAACTGTTTCCTGATCCTTTGGATGTATCTATCATGACGGGATGGATAAAGAATTATTTTATAGGAAGATCAGACAAAATAGATTAAAATACTTTTAGTTGACATTTGTACATGTTTTTCATTAAAAATAATTTTAAGAATTTTAAATTAATCAGAGTATGTTTTATTGCTGTTTAAATATCTACCAAAGATAATCATGTGGTAAAATATAAAGAACTAAACCAACAAATATTTCAATCATTGGTTAATGTCCTGATTATTTGTCTTGATTTAGCATTTAATCGTCAGGTTAAAATAATTATAGAAATAAATCATCGCATCTCCTGCTTTGTGTGACCAACAGTCCAAAACCCAAAGATATTCAATTCACTGTAAGTCAAAAGTAAAAGCAGTAAATTCACATATTTGAGGTCCTGGAACCATTAAATGTTTATTCCTTTTGCCTGGAAAGTGACTTAAACTCACAGTATGTAACTTCTGCCACTAGGGTTCTCTAAATCAAAACAACAACGAAAGACGGCGTTGGGTGACGTCATGAAATAGTGTGGTATCATGGGAGTTGTTGTCCTCACCACATTACCGTCAGACCATGTGATTATAACCATTAAAAACCCTGAATAAAGCAGATTCACATTTAAAGTCAGTGTTTCACCGACGCTGTACGGAGGGCAGAGACTTCAGGGAAGAGTTGGAGCTGAGATTGATGCTAACCTTTGTTTTGATTGTTTCTCTGATAACTTATGAACCAGACGTCCGATGACTAAAATCCTTCATCTTGTTCAGATATACAGTTGAAAACCACCAAGGTGTAAAAACTGTATTCTAAAGATGTGACTTAAGACTGAATAAAAGTCATTTCAGAGCTTCTGTCAGACAAACTGACACATGGTCATAGAGGATATGATGTCATTGACAGGCGACCAAAGGATTGGTTACCATGATTAAAATCACAGATTTCCATGTAAGAACACAACTCGACAAAGTTTTTTCAGACATTTTAATTTGGAAAAGTTCCATATAACTTAAAGTGATTAAAAAAATATAGCTGGGGCTTTATCTCCTGTTAGTTGACTAATAAATTTAAAAAATAATTGCTCTAAAAATAATTGTACGGACTGTTTTCATTCGTTTTAGTTTGAACGTCAAATCTCAGCATTTTTGAATAGTGAATAATAATTAGTACAGAAATAATTAAACAGTTAATCTATTGGTTGATCGACAGAAAATGAAATCATTAACGGTTTTGACCATCAGTCTTTTAAGTCCTTCAGTTCCAGCTTCACAAACATGAGGATTTGCTGCTTTTCTCAGTTTTATATCTTGTATAAATTGAATATCTTTGGGTTTTTGGACTATTGGACAAGGTGAGCTGTTACGAGCTGTCACCTGAACTCTGGGTATTTTGAATTGGCATTTTTCACAATTTGTTTTTCTACCATTTCATTCTAACCATTGAATCTCAGCAGTAATCTCATAAAGTATCTTACAGACCAGTTTTGAATCCATGTAATGTGTATATTTTTTTAAATCATCAGACTGCTCTTTGACATTTACCCACCTCCACTGTGAGTGGTACTCACTGCAGACGATGTTTTACTGTTTCCACAGAGAGATCAGGAGGTCACACCGATCATTTCGACATTGTGGAGCGGGTCGAGATGGGTCAAATGGCCTCCATGTTCTTCAACAAAGGTAATATTCTTCTCGCCTCTGGCTTCTACTCTCACTGACTGTTATTCAATTAACTGCAGACACCACCATCGTTAGCCACGTGTAACATTTATGGAGGAGGAGTGAAGGTTGTGTGGGATCATTCCTAAAAGATTCTTTTTACACCTTTTATGTCCGTTTTTCACGTCCACAAAGGAAGGCTGCTGGCTGTTTAATTGGCTGTGATTATATATGGTGAAATTGCCTTTGGTTGTAATTACCTTTTTCAGACCCCATGATGACTGTTAATCTCCCCGTTGTGCATGTGTATGTGAGGGGGTACATCCTGTACTTGTGGCAAAGACAGTGAGGCTTCCACCTGAATGATCTGGGAGCTAATGAACCTTCTGCTAACGTGTGATGGCACACTGAAAGCAAACTCACCTTGAAGCAGAGACAGGAAACCTTGCAGCTTTACATTCCTCATTCATATCAGTACATTGTCCTGGCTATGTCCGCATGCAGCCCCCCCCCCTTGTCTGCTTGCATTACACCGACCGACTCTTCTTAACCCGATTGCCGAGGTGACTCAACAGTCTGCTGCGTCCCTGCTGTCGCAGGAATAAAGGAACAACGAAAGGTCAAAGCTCTGACAACATCATCCGAGCTGACATGTTGTGTGCTTCAGCATTTCACCACTAGGTGGAGCACTCGTCACACATGCACATACACACACAGTATAACGCGCGTCCACTCGGCTCATGTTCACACCCACACGTGTGAACGCACTTGTGCATGCCGTCCTGCAGCCCATGCTGTGAAAGCTGCAGTGTGCTCCAATCCATTCGGCCTCTTGTCACTCACTCGACTGTCCTGTCTCTTAAAGGTGAAGTGTTTTAAAAAAAAAAAAAAAAAAAAAAGAAAAAAAAAAAGGCTTTGCTGATGACCTTTCCCTCCATGAAACAGACTGCGTGCAGGTGAGGCACGTGGAGGTATCGATTGGTAATAAGGAAATGAGTTTTATCTCCTCTTCTCACTCGCCCCATGCCATGGGAAAGCGGCCCAGTGACTCTAATCAGAAATGAATTAAACAGGCACAGGACCCAGCACATGCTGAAGGAGGAAACACAGCTCTTTTGTTTATCCTGACAACACTGACCTGCTCAGTTCTGACCTGCTGTGTGTGAGCTCTCGTTTTGTGCACGCACTGTGTACAGATAATGAAATGTGACAGCAGACGCTGGGTATAATTTGACAGTTTTCGATACTAGTGTTGATATGATACCTGAGTTTCATCCCAGTGCCAACATGAAACCTCACTGAAAAATATGAACATTTTCTTTTTTAAAAAGCCATTCCAAAAAAAAACCAACACAAGCCAAAGTTCTCAAAATTTAAATGAGCAGAACAACTCTGCTCAAACGCTCTGAAATTGGTAGAATCTCAAGTTCAAATTGATTTGATCAAAGAATGAGTAAAAAAAAAAAAAAATTACAACTCTGACCTGAGCTTCATGACAGCTTCAGTATGGTTCAGTTTCTGATTCTCAGTGTTGCAAACACATTTCAGTTGGTGCCAAAAAAGGATTTAATTTTGAATTTCGTCCTTCATCCACTGATGTGAACAGATGCAGTGAAGGCATTTTTTAATGCAATCTTTGTGCCTTTTGTGCTCCCAAATGTTTTCTTACTCTTATGTCCTTGGAGGATATTATATCTGCTAATAAATATAATAAATAATGAATAAATTGGGATCTTAATTTGTGTTAGCAAAGTTGTAGACTGTAGACCTTCAGCCGGTCATGTGACCCTGGATGACCTCTGCATGCTGGGACAAATTATAATTTATGTAAAAACAACCTGCAGACTGGTACTAATGTCACAAACCTACTGGCAACTGGTTGCACAAATGGAGCTGGAGTATATGTCTGAGCTCTGCACAGTTTTACGATTTCCATCAGTCAATGTGTGCATTAAAGTTCCCATATTTTTTTTTTAGACTTGCCCTTAGACTTTGAAGTGTTGATCCATAAGAAGATATATTTGTGGTTTTAGGAACCAAAAACCATCTCAATGTAGTTTTACATCTCCTCTCTCAGGCTTCTCTCTGGAGCTCTAGTAACAACAGGTCAGTGAGCCAATCAGAAGAGCGGAGGCTCTGAGTTTCTTTTCTGATTGGCTGACTGTTTTGTGAGTGATCCAATAAAAATATAGCAGATTTCAGAAAACACTTAGAGAAACCAAATCCTGCAAGGTTGGATGGTGGGTCCAGGTGGGGTGTAGCTGTACACCCCAGCTTGGGGGTGTAGCTGAGGGCGGTGACTGCTTTGTTGTGACATCACAAAGTTCCAGAAGTCCTGACAGCTTGTTTTAAGGCTCAGTTTCTGAATGCAGGCTGTGTGCATTTCTCTGTGGACTGAGGCTTTGATACTTTCACAGTATTAATATAGAACCTAGACCTGCTTTATAATCAAACAACACATGGACATCTACCTCTATACTATATGGCTTATTAATATCGTTATTGTGCAGAAAAGGCACTGGTTCCAGGTCCTCAAATGGTAATTATTTACAGGTTTTCTTGGTCTTCTCTATCAGTTCAAGAAATATCTTTGGGTTTTAAAGTGATTGTTAGACAATATACACTATTTCAATACTGCTTATTGGTTAGTGTGCATTTGGGTTTCATAGTTTCGCACTTCAAATAATCTGCTAAACCTAAGATCAAACACAATCAGGCCGTTGGGAGCTATTTGCACCAAAATGCCTGAAAATGTAAATATGTGACAGTTTGTTAGACAGCAAACTACTCCAAATAGGAGATTATGGGTGTGAGGAGACGGATGTTGACATTTGATAACCAGTAGCACCTTTTTTCTTGGAAATCATAGAAAAATAAAATCAGCTGAGGGCAAACTGCAGACTGTACCTCCTTTTATATTCAGCTCTTTCTTAATGGATTTATGGAGCTAATTAACAAGAAAGTGCAAACAAGTCCATTATACTCTGCTAAATTTACAGGACAGCTTTTACACTACCTCCCCACTCTTCACAGGTAATAAACTGTAGGCTTGATTGCACACTGTCTTTCTGCCCTGCACCTTTGCTAGCAATTAAAAGCATCTCATCTTAGAGGGCATTTGACTTCCTTCTGGGCTGAAATTGACATGGCAGCAGCAGCAGCAGCAGCAAGTCAGGTTTGGAATAAGGCCATGGCTATCGTATCAGCCTGACCCGCAGCCACTGACAGGAATGTTGATGGAGGCTTCTTTATTTGCACCACTGTGGAAAAGTGTTACTATAACCTTCACATTGATGATTTGAAAGTTGATTAGAAGACGACTTTGGCTAAAGTCACAAAGACAGAGAGATTTACAGAGGGCTGTCCTTGCATCAGCATCTTGTCTCAGCTTTTCTTACCTTTGTGATCTGATGCAGTGGTTAACATGGTGGCTGTGCAAACAGCAGGATTGTTTCTTCAACGTGAGCCGTCCTTCCCCTGACATACGGAAGACCCATGGTGGCGAATACTAATTTACTCCACTGTAACCCTGAGCTTGTGGCTTTAATGAGAACCAAACATGGGCACATCTATTTTTAATACTTCAGTGACTTTTACTTAAATGTCATACTTGTGCATTGAGAGCACTGGCAAAATGAAATCACGAGTGCCTGAGCCACTGGGAAAATAAATGGACATTTGCTTTATCGTGCAGCCCAATTATTTTCCATAAACCACTACTACAATAGTCTTCAGTGTCAGCTTTTTAAAAGATGCACTTTAATTTCAGGGAGTATGTTATAATGGCTAACTGTGATCAACCCAACAGATCGATATTACAAGCTTAGTCCCAGGATGGAAGTTTGCCCTATGAAAGCTTCATTTATTTCTCAAAATGGAACCAAGTGAAGCCTGTTTTGTCATGACTTAGAATCTATTCAGTCAGCTCTGCTTTCTGATGGATTGAAACATAAAGTATATGAAGTAAATGCTGAAAGTATGTTTGGCTCGAGTGGCACCCTTGGTCTGATACATTAAGCTGCTGTGAACAGGTGATTTTAGCTTATATGTGCAATCAGCACAAATATCACCTGATGAGGAGTTGCAATACAGAAATGGCAAAGGGATGTTAGAGGTAATTGAACATGACTTTGTTTATATTGTACTATCCGTGTGTCACGCTCAGTATATATCTTGGCTATAGCTCATATAGCTACTAGTAAGTTTTATTGCTACATTGCTCCATAGCATTAACAGCTGTTTACTTACCAGTCTTGGCAAGAGCTTCAGCCATTGTTGCGTTTACAAGACAAGAGGTTATAATACGTCCTCTGAGTAGTGGTACTTCTTCAAGGCAGCCTGGACACTACAGTGACTCGGTATCGGAAAGTGACACGATGGGACGACTAGCCTGCAGCTAGCTGCTTGGCGTGCTAACTTCAATAGAAGAAATATAGTGATAGAAATAGAAACAAAACAAGAGGGTTGCTTTCCACCTTCTGGAGACAGCTCTTGGTGAGTAAAGGAATGAAGTTTGATGCTGAACCCACGTTTCTTCTAGACTGTTAAGTAAACAGCTGTTAATGCTAATGTTAGCTATGTAGCAATAGCAAAAACTTACTTATAGCTTCTTTAATGGATCACTTCAATCAAAAAATTGTCACAGATTCAGACCTGACTTTCAATAATCTAAAATTTTAATCATTTAAATAGGTCTAGTGTGGGGATGTCTTCTTTCTGTGCCAGAGCCAGACATGGAAGATGGTAATAAGCATGGATGATGCCACAATACAGGTTATTGTTATGTCGATTTGCACAGATAACACTTTTGAATTGGCATATTTCTAGAATCGATTCGACAAATGTTAACTGTAACTTGCAACCAATAATTGCTTAGGAGTCGACTGAAAATGATGACAGGTTGAAGAGAAAACAAAATGGCAATTCATTCAGATTATATTGTTCATCGAAAATATTTGTTAAACATGAACACTGGTAGATTTATTTGCTTTTAAATATCTCAAACATCAGTGTTGTCCTTAATAAATCCAGTCATGCAGGCCCTGGGTAAGATCTGGATCTCTCCAAGGATTCTTGGATTTATTCCACTGCCCCTAAATCTTTGAGTGTTTTTAGTGTCAAAGAGATTCAGTCTAATGGTTTCTGCATTACACATACAGTAAGTTGTGTGTGTACAAGGTAGACCTCAATCAGCCATTTCTATCTCTGTACTGTCCTATTTACTTATTTTTAGAGACATATATTAATGGTGTTGTTGCCGCTGGGGCTGGCTCAATTTAGATTTGATTTGTTAATGTCTATAATCTCAGTTCATCATAATTCCACTCTGACATTCCTACAAGAAGCAGAATTTGAATATAAAGAGAGGAGAGATGGTAATGAAGTGAAACTCAAAGTTAAAATTCATTTTGTTCTTTATTTCAGAGGCTTTAGATGTGACCAAGGTTCTAATGAGTCGTTTGTAACCAAACAAGACAATTTAATTTTACAGGGTTTGGAAAAAATTAAAATAACATCCTGTCCTACTCCTATTATGCAGCACACAGAATTAAATCCCTAAATGCAGCAGTATATCAGCACAGTTGAGTCTTTACAAGGTAATAAAACTGCCTTTCCCTATTGTGCACTTAACTAAACAGTGGCCCAGCAGCTTTTTTGTGTAGCTCCTCACAGAGAGGTTGTCAGGTCTGCTGTCAGTCAGAGGCAATGTGCTGATGGATAGTGCTGCATTTCACAGCTACATGAAAGGCCGGGCTCCTACGTGAAGACCCATTTTGCTGCATTTTCGCCTGTGGCTCTGGGTAATTGGGAAATATTAGTTACAGTGCCGTGAAGGCCTGCATCCCTGTGGTCATGCAGAGCTCTCGCCTTGCTATCGCTTACCGACAGCAGCAGCAGAGCATAGTACGTCCTGTTTCTGCTAACTGCTACTGAGACACTAATATGCCTCGTGTATGTTGTGCCACAGGAGACTTAACGTGCAGCATAGCGAGGGATTTGTTTCTTCAGCTGATGAGAAGTAAGACTTAGGAAGACTTAATTCTCATTATCTCAACCCTAAAAGATATGGACCATATTTTAATATCATATGCTATCATATACTGCTAGCATTGTCCCATGAACTGTTTCACCACAGAACTACTTATATTGTACTTTGCATATAATTTTGCACATAATTAAGCATCGGTGCTAGGGCTGCGCTAAACATTTGAGACTTTTTGAGACCTGAATTTTGACACTGATACCAAAGCTTTTGCTAAAAAAAATTTGCTTTTATGAACTACAGTTTTTTTAACCTCTCAGCTGTTAAATGTTGTTTATACATATGCAGTCATAGTATACACACATACTTATAGTCTATAATTGACAATAGGCCTGAACAAGTAATCAAAATGTTATTGAAATCACAGTATGGTCAACTGGAATATCCAAATCATACAAACAAACCATGAATGAAGCGTTGTGGTGCCACAGAGATGCACCAGCCTACCAATCATATTCTCCAGATGTAAGGGATCATCCTTGTTTGGTACAGAGCCAACACAAATCACATCATCATTTTTTTTCCAGCAAAAATGAAATGAAAAAAATTACCATTCCGGCTGAAATCGTGTAACTCTATGCAATACAATCTGTAGCCAGAGAGAAAGAATTTGTGTTTCAGTGGCTGAGCTGGGAATAAACCAGCAAACATAGCCATGGTAACCGACAAAACTCACAATCAGAAAGTTCAAATAGAAGTTCTGATTTTATAAAAGTGGTCCTGTCTAACTTTTCACATCATTTGCATCTTATGACTGAAGAGAGACATTCATTTTCAAAATATTGATTAAATTCAAATGAACTGAGGTCGAAGCAGAACCTAAGAAAATCCTTAAATCAGTACGGTCATATCTATCGATTATCTCCTTCAGTGTTGGTTAATGCTTTCATTGATTTGTTTTGAAGTTACTTTAAAATGAAATAAAATACATAATCCCAGTATCAAGTAAACATAATATGACTGTATGTCTTCTAATGAGTTTTATCACACTCCTTTGAGGGGTCTCCCTGAAACAACTTCACAGAAACATCCTCAAATATGACGTGCCAAAGGAGACAAGCAGTTTGGCTTATTACACAACCAGCTCTTCCAAAGCTCATCCCTAAAATCCACTCAGCAAATACTGACCTAGAATAGGATCAAGAATATATAATCCCAGTTCTGATCCAGTCATTTAAATGTGAGCAGCTCAATCATAATGGGGCCTGGCATGAAATTAACAGATGAAAGTTAAAAAATTTTTTTTGTTTTTCTATTTTCTGATATTTTATAGGCCAAACGATTAAATGAGAAAATAAGCTGCAGTTTAACTGATTGTAAAATAATTAGTTTTAGCTCAGATAAAGTATCAGCTAATTTGGACTTGCAGTACTCTGTTCAGCCTCCAGTCTTAACATCTTTTTTTACAACTAGATGAGTGCTTGTTTCTTAGGCTGCCAGTTCCGTATGTTTTCCGCTGTTTGATGGGCCCCCTCAGTGCTTAATTCATAAAAGAATCAGTGTAGCCTGTAAATCTGTAAATCTGTCACTTTTTATTTCTTTTTAATGGACTCTGTGCTCTAATTTCCTTGGCAGTAATGAATTAGCTGAGAGGTCGAGTTGGACAGTTGAACCCCCTTCTGAGAATTGAAGAGCATGATGGATGTGAGGGGCACTGTGATGATCTGACTGCTGGTGAAAGCTTTCGATCTCTGCTTGGCAAAGGCTGCTGGGCAGGGCCTGCCAGTCTTGGGGTGTGTGGATGAAGAGGGAGGGGAGGAGGAGAGGGCGGGGGCGAGATGGTTAAGAGCTTGTCGCTGTGGAGAGCAAAGGCTGACGAGGAAAAATTTCCCTCATGGAGTGATTGGTTTTTAAATTCATGCTATTAATATTTTTTCATTGGTCCAATGAGACGTGCCTCTGCAGTCCACGCTGCTGTCCCAGAAAAAAAGGATGAAGGGATGTAATGAGTGGAGGTGTGCAGATGAGGGTGCATTTTAATAGAGATGGTAAAGTTTAACACACATGGTGCATCAACCATATTTCACAATGAAGTGTTTGGACAGCTGACAAAGTTGAAGAATGTGTTTGCGTGTCACCTCTCAACCTCATGTTACGTCTTGAATCTTCATTTTCATCCACAAACACAAACTTGGCACGTCTCCCTTAGTCATTCATTCATATCTTGATCTTTTCATTTTTGTCTTTCAGTCGGCGTCAATATGTTCTACATCTGCATCATAGTCTATCTGTACGGGGACCTGGCCATCTACGCAGCAGCTGTGCCTATATCGCTAATGGAAGTTGCCTGGTAAGACCAATGTACTCACTTTATCACATTCATTGTCAGTTTTATTGTGAAATAAAATTATATATAGATGGGTTTTATAGATGCTCTCCTTGAAGAACATTTGGAACATTTGCTTCTCTCCGTTTTGGCAAGACAAAGTTAATCTTTCTTCATCTCACTGGCTCCTCTCGTCCCCCCACACACTTGGGTCCAATTTTCACCCTCTGAACTCAAGATTGAGACAATAAAGCTCTGCTGACAGAGGCCTTTAGGCCTGCTGACCTCTAACTGGTGATCCTGACGTCTGTGTCTTGTTGACTTGCTTCCAGACAGGTTTTTATTGCAAGTCCGTTGGCCAGACTGGGCGAGAATAAGGTGTTTCATATAGTTAGAGACTCTGCCCGTCAGACCCCCGGCCACAGAAATAGCCATTCCCCCTTTAGTGTTGTTTTAGTGAGATGATTTCAGGAGAGTGATGGTTAAAGTTTCTGACAGGGATGTTTTTGATCGTTTTAGACAGTTCCGACAACTTTTACTTTTGGAGAAAGTATTATTCTTTCTATAACCTTTGCTTAAATTGATGATTTCTTCACTATTTTATAGGGCTGGGTATTGCCACTGATTTCCTTAATTGATTCGATTCCAATTCACAAGGTCCCAATTCATTATCGATTCAGTTACAGATATTTCAGTTACATCATCAAATTTTCTTGGATATGACTGAGATTCTGAGAGAACTAATGCTGTAAATTGTTCCTCTAACCTGGTGCATTATTAAAAACATTAATGCTTACATTACGAATGGACCTAAAGCAGTTACATTTTGGACACATCTCAACAAATAGTAGATGTAATGGTCGTTGTTAATGTACCCCAGTGCCCTGGCTATACTGTGTATGAACAGGTACACATGGCTTCTTGCATATAGATTTGTTTTTTTCCAAGCTCTTCACTGTCTAAATAGTTTTTAAATCTGAAATGCAGCCACACATCTGTCTTTAGACTTGCCGCTGACTTCATTGGGATCTCACCTGTCATGTGCAGAGGTGTAGTGCTGTTTGTTTATGTACCGAGCGCACCTATGGTGCATGTGCACTGTTAAATTGGGGCTTGTTTCAAAGGTTATGTAACCGCTGCTCCTATGGTGGCAAGTTTACATTCATTTATTGATTTGTGTCAAGCAAACTAAGCCGCATTGGAAACATCCATTCAGAGGAGAAGCTGCAGTGCAGGCAGAGGTCAGGCTAAGCTAACAGGCTAGGCTATGAAAACGCAGCTAAACTAGCTTTCATTTCCAGCAGCACAAGCTGTCCAGGTCGAACAGAGTGAGTAAAAGCATCACAGACAAAGAAACTGTCAGAAGAGTGAATGATTAGTAAAGATGAAAAGACAGAAAACATCCTTTCACTCAACAACAATTGAATTCACTGAGCAGCTCAGAGGCTACCTGCAGCTACCGGACACTTTTAAGGTGGAATGTTTTCTTGCGTGTTACTCAATGCATGATTGACGTTTGGAAATCAATCAATACAGAGATTGTGACCATATTTCCTGCATCTTGGCTGGTTGGTGGAAGGATACAACCACCAACAAAGCTAATCAAATAATTATTCTAAAATTCCCAAATTACACATAAATATAGGTAAATGACAGCAGCTGTGCTGTGTGATTGGCTAAACTGACACTAAACATCACGTGTTGTGACCAGTGATTACAGGAAAAATGCATACTTCACGAGTTCTTTGCCAAGCCAGACCCTGACCTGATACTTTATGCTTTTGTCCACTCAACCTGAGCACAATTGAAGACAGACTGACACGCAGCTAAATCTCTCATAAAAGACACTGTTATCACTGCTTTCATTTGACCCTGCATCAGTGTTCTTTCATTCCCTGCTTCTCTGAGTTAATTCAAAATAATAAAATCACCTGTGATTTGAAGTGAAAAAGTATAATCTCTGTCCTCTTCTTCTAATTGTTGTTGTAACAAAGCCGCTCCACCTCATTCTGTCCTGAGGCACAGTACAGAAGCTGTCTTATCATATTAAATTCTCCTCCACTGTGGTCCAAACCTTGCTAACCTTCCAGCAAGAATAAATGTGAGATGTAACTGAAACATCAAAAGCAGTTTTCTTTGCCTGAGGGCACAAACTGCAGACTTCTTCACAGCATGAGAAGAACCAGATGATTTAACTAAAGCTCACTCTGTCACGAAGCAGTGATAGGCTTTGTGACTGTTTGTAAGTGATGCCCTTCAAGTTTTGACAACCTCTGCTGCACCTCAGCTTTTCCTTTAGCTGATTAATCTTATTGTGTCTTTTTATGATGCGTAAACCAGGACATTTTAGGTGCCAATCTGTTATGAGAGTTCAGACTATAGATTTAAAACAGCAGAGGGGATGATCTGGTGCGTGCATCAGTCTCAGATGGCATTATCTCACAAGGTTGGATGTTAAACATTTAGCTGTGTTTGTTTGTGTTTATGTTGCTCTGCAGTGGAAACCACTCCTGCAGCGCGGGAAGTGTGAAGTACAACGATACAGACCCTTGCTGGGGCTCCGTCACAAGGAAAGATGCGTACAGGGTGTTTCTGGTAAGTGCTGATTCCTTATCCCAGCAGCATTCACCTCTCTCTAACGCCTTTCTTCTTACCTCATAGTCTGCAGGACTACTAGTACTCAGGAATGAGCCCTAAAACCAGCTGACGGGACTTCTGTAACTTTATGATGTCACAACAAAGCAGTCACTGCTCTCAGCTACACCCCAAGCCCCGCCCACCTGGACCCACCATCCAACCTTGCAGGATTTGGTTTGTCTGAGTGTTGAGGAATGAAGTTGATGATGCTGAAATCTGTTTTGTTTTTATTCAATCACTCAGAAAACTGTCAGCCAATCAGAAGAGAGCCTCTGATCCTCTCTTCTGATTGGCTGACAGACCTTTTGTTACTAGAGCTCCAGAGAGAAGCCTGAGAGAGGAGCTTTAAAAATACACTGGTGGTTTTTGGTTCTTAAAACCAAAAATATATCTCTTTTATTGACCACTGGTTATTTTCTCCCCAACAACTACAGGAAATTCAATATATTTGCAATTTGAAAACCTTTTAAGACAACATTTAAATGTTAGAACTGAGGCCAGAGTCTGTGGTGAACAGGCACATCTGCTCTCAACTAATCTGACAAATTAGCATTATTGATTAATTAATGAATATATTTATAAACTGACATACCAGACTCCACATTTTGAATTGCTAACTGTCAATCCCAGCAGTTCAAATGACAACTTTCAGCAGCAAATTTTATCAGCTGTAGCTAATTAATGTTAATTCCATGAATTGGCCTAATGCCAAAATAAAACTGTTGGCAGCTGTCTGGTTGTTGTACTCTCTGCAGACCACTGTCTGTCCTTGTTTAGACTCCCCCAAAAATGTTAATAAAAGAGAGGAGCGCTCTGCTTGTTATTCCTCCATGCCAGCGACAGCCAGAGCCGGAGGCATATTGTTTTTGGGTTGTCTATCCGTCCCATTCTCATGGACACAATATCTCAATAACACCTTCTTCAAATTTAGCACAAATGTCACTTGGACTCGAGGAAAACACTTTTTAGCCATTACGCAAAACTTCACATGGCAATCATGACACAAATTTCATACAAATATTTTATATGACTCTGGATAAACAGGGATGTAACCTGAAACTAGTCTGATTGGCAGAGGCAGACAACCACAAGGCGATAAATCTATGTTGATACTTTAAAGGACCAACAGAGTGAAAAGATCCAGGTGATCAAGTCATGTCATATTCTGACAGTTAATTACCTAGTTGTCAAGTATGAATGACCATCAGTTTGCTTAAAGACAGGACGCATTAAAGTAATAAAAGACAGCAAAGCAATAAAATCCTGAAAAAAATAGAGAAAAGATCATTGAGAGATAAAAGAGATGATACTGGTTGTAAAAACACCTGATAGTAGTAAAAGCAATTTTAAGACATAAAAACCATAAAGCAATATAAAAGAGGGTTGATTTAATTAAAAGCAAGACCATAAAAATAAGTTCTGAATATATCAACAGAGGATCGTGGTGGGAGTATATTCCAAATGTTCAGTGCATAGCTGCAAAAGCTGCTTCACCGCATGTTTATTTGTGCCACTTTTAGCAAACCAGCGTTAAGCAACCAAATTGAGTGGTTTGGAACACACTCCAGGCAACATGAAAGATACGAAGGTGCTTGACCGATTTTGGTTTTAAAAACAAGTTAAGGAATTTAAAAATCTCTCCTCAATGTTACAGGTAGCCAGTGCAATGACGCTAACACTGGTGTAATATAGTGTCTATTTCTAGTTTTTCATAATTCTGAATCAGCTGCAGCTAATCAAAGCACAGTCCAGTGGTCAATAAAATCATCTGCTTTTTTAAAGGTCCCATATTTTACACTTCTCTTGTGTTTTATTAGAAGTGTTCATCCACAAAAAGATACATTTGTGGTTTTAAGAACCAAAAACCATCTTAATGTAGTTTTAGATCTCCTCTGTCAAGCCTCTCTCTGGAACAGGTCAGTGAGCCAATGACTGGCTGACTGTTTTTTGGGTGATCTAATAAAAATATAGCAGATTTCAGGTAAACACGAACATTACATCTGAGAAGCCAAATCCTGCAAGGTTGGATGGTGGGTCCAGGTGGGCGGGACTTGGGGCATGGCTGAGGGCGGTGACTGCTTTGTTGTGACATCACAAAGTTCCAAAAGTCCTGACGGCTCTTTTTAAGGCTCGGTTTCTGAATACAGGCTGTGTGCATTTCTCTGTGGACTGAGGCTTTGATACTTTCACAGTATTAATACTGAACCTAGACCTGCTTTATAATCAAACAACACATGGACATCTACCTTTTATACTGTATGAGACCATTAAAGCATGTGTAAGCAGGGAAAAGTCAAGTCCAGCATGCAGTTGTTTATTGCTACTGTAGTTGATTTTTCATTTATAAAATCATGCTTGTGCTGTTGTGCTGTAGCAGTGAGGTGTTTCCACCGTTGTACGTCATTCAAGTTGTGAAAGACGGCCAGCTATGATTGGTCGGGGTTCAACATGTAGTCTGTCAAGTTTCTCTGCCAACTCATGGCAAGAATTTATAACCCAACAATCCTCTAATCTGAGACAGTGACCATCAATAAGACACAAATTTTTTAGAGTTGATCCCGGCATTATAGGTCCCATGATGCTTAATTACAAGTCAAGATACCAGCTGAAAAAGTGAATAAGAGAGACAGTATCAGTTCCTGCACTGAACTGTTTTGACATATTTATAAAAACAAGGTTAAAATGTTGGAACAATGTAAGTACAGCTTTTTTCCCCACAGGGGATTTCTCCTCTTTGAACGCTACAGTGATGCAGCTGCTGTAAGAATATACTTCCGACCCAGCACAGCTGTGCACACATTTCTGTAAAAGGTGTAGTGGGCCAAGCCTCGCCTGCATTTCTGTCAGATTCAGCTCAGACTTTTCCTGTACTCTGTGTCCCTCACACCCCACGTCTGCAGCCCACAGGAATTGTATGTGTCCTTGAAGTCTAGAGCCAGCCAAACGCTGTGATTTCCACTCGAGCTTTAACTCTGCACGGCGACAGTGATAGATGTCCTGATCTCCTCCTGTGTAATTTCTCAGCCTCCGCGCTCTCTGCGCTCTCTCCTTCCTAGCCTTGCTTATATTTTAATGAAATGAGCCGACCTCAAATAATTTGCCAAAAAATGAACTTTCCTTTCCTTTGTCTCCTGCGGGATAAGCCTCTTAGTGTATGTACGCAAACTGAAATAATGCTGATTTGTAATCTCCGGTCAACTTGTTTCCACTTGCGGTTTTGCAGACTAATTTCCCAGTTTCATCATGACTGCTTAGGGAAATAGATATATAACAGGAAACAACGTTTTTACCAGTCGACACTGACAAATAATGATGTCCTGTTCTGACCTTTTTCTCCAATTATACTGATACTCAGTTTTGGCCGTACAAGTTCTGCTCCAATATCAGTGGGCTTTTTTTTTCTCCCAAAGTTAAAATGTGAAACCTCTCCGTGTGGCACTGATTAGAACCATTCTTTTGTGAATAAGGTAAAAGCAGCAACTTCCAGGGCTGAAAAATTAAGACAACACTGAAGTGCTAGAAACTGCAGTTCCTCTAATGACCACCAGAGTCTGGCTCAATCCCCTTAGACTCCCATGTCTAACTTTAAAGCAGAAATAAACATGTTAACAGTCTGGTACAAACAACTGTTTTGGTCTCTATAGCTTTCTATTTCTTCCTTCATGGCAACTGTTTATATAACTCACCTATTTACATTTTATTATGGCTTAAAATTCTGCATAACTGAGGGCGTGGCCTCTTTGAGTGGGTGAGCGTATGCTTGCCACAAAGCGGCATGCACCAAAGTCTTACCCCACCTCTTTGCCCATTTTTGGATTAGCTGGGAGTTAGGGGCGGAGTCAGGCACTGCTAAAACGGCGACCACGGAGAAGCTCACTCTGAGCTTCAAAACCGCTCTTCAGAAACCTGCAGGTGACGTCACAGGAGGTTTATACACTAACATGCTTTGTGCGGTTGCTGGTGTTAGGAACAGATACAGGCCTTTCAAACCTCCTGAATTACATGCTTCTGCTTCTCCTCACCAAAATCACTTCATCATGCTTTAACCTCATAGCTGTCTGCTGTGTCTTTTTGAACTCCAGTTGTTAAAAGTATGGCATTAATAAGATTAAACACCAGCTTTTGTTTTGAGCTGGTCTCCTTTACCAACTGTAGTTAAATATGTATTAAAATGATTTAATCCAGAAGGACCACCTGAACAAAAAGTACAGAAACCTCTTACAGTAGATCTACTCATAGAAAAGATATATATTGATAATGTTAGCTAACCACAAATGTCCCTGTCAGCATTTCCAGTTTCATAATAAAGGCCTACTGTTGCCTTCACATTAAAATGCATTGATTATGCAGCCGTGCATCAAATACCAGGGGCAGCAAAATGAATGAACCAGAGCAGAAATGTGTATTAAATGACCAATATCCTGTTTGCTTTATAAGGTCACTATCAGCAGTCTGCAGCTTCAATGATGTTTTTCACAGTAATATTTTCTAATGAATTTGTAAAACTATGATGTCATGATAAGAAGTACTTGATGTGTCATTATTTTAATCAAGTAATTAGTGTCTCTTTGCTGTGGACTTCTCTTTGTCTCAGATGCCAAGTAAGCCAACAAATTAACTTGTTTTCCATTTTCTAATTTGTTTCCTAAACATTTATCTCAAGTAATTTTGCACATATATATATATGTTACTGCTTGTCATGACATTTTATAACTTATATTGTTGAGATTTTATTTGCTTAGTCTCAAAACTTGGCTGCACAGTTTGGCATTGCAGTAGTCTTTGTTTGTATCTTGTCTTCAACAGTGAAGATGTCGCTGCTGAACAAAAGATTTGATTGTCATAATTTAAATATTGCTGCAGATGGATATTACTCAGATGGTTTCTGAGGATTTTTTTCCATCTTCTAATTGACATTGTCAGTTTTTCATGGTATTCTTTTATATTTTTTACACTAG